GGCCGCGGATTCATACTCACCTCTAGGTTTGCCGGTATGGGTCCAGTGTCAGCCAGTTCAGATCTTCAGGAAGAGTAAAGATGAACAGAAATATATTTCCTTCTCCTTGTATTTTGAAGGTCAAGCTCATTTCAATTAGGAAAGAAAGAATGTTGGAGAAGTTACTTTGAAAAGGAGGGCAACTGACCTGGATTATACGTAATAATAAAATATTTTTTCCTTGACAGTACATGTTTGTTCTTAAGTATAATTAGAACATTTGGCCTTAAAAACATTTTGAAATGTTCTACCGAGATACATTCTTAATAATAAAAGGGAAACATCTCAATAGAATCTGTATCTTTTATTGAACAGTCTTGTGTTTCCTTATAAATATTATAACCTCATTTGGGCACAAATGTTTTATTATATGGACATGCTAGTATAATTATTTCCAAGTTTGAAGGGCCAGTGAGGTACTGCATTGGCTAACAAATATGCCAAAAGTTTCCCTACAGAGTAAGGAGCTGTGTAAATTTAAGCCTGCTACCTATGTGATGTCTGTTTGTCACACACAGAAAGAAAATTTTCATGTACATCAGACCTAGAAAATCTGCATTAAAGTGCCTTAAAATATACAGAATTTTTAAGTTTTGTTATTCTCTTATGTTTTCAGATTTTCTTTTTTAAAAGGGCTTTTTAGTGTAATTTGTTATTCATTCAGAAAATACTTCAGAGCCTACAGTTTTCAAAGTTCTGTAGAGTTACTGTATACTAGAGAATCATAAATCATGGAAATAAAGTACAGAGGTGAAGAACTACTTCATAAATGACACAGAATTTTCTAATTAGAACTTGTTTCACTTCTTCTAATTCTACTGGCTGCCTACTTGCTAGGACTGGATAATGTAACTGCCAAAGTTTAAGTTAAGGAAAACAAAAGCATTGCCTATCTCCTAAATTGAGATATTTTGAGGGGCAGTTTGTCTTTTTTTACTGACTTTCACATGAGAATTCTTGTTCTCTTCCCTTCCCCGGGAATTTACTTGCCCCCTTCGTAAAAGCATATTTAAATACCTAGCATGTATAATGGTCTCATAGTGCTGAATTCCTTTTTGGAACCAATTGGTTCTTTTATTTTCAAGTTTGAGCTGTGAAGGCCCTTTTCCTGGTTATACCCTGTACCCTAGAGATAGGGATTAGTCCTTACCTGCTTCTTAAGCCCTTCCCTGCATGTGAATGATGCTTTGTATCCTTGTCCTTTCTGGCCCAACGATTTTGCTTCCCATTGCTTTTTCTGGGGAGCTCTCTGGTTAGTTCTGGCTCTGGAGATAATGATTGGCGCTTCCTTGCTAATACAATGACATGGCCACCAGGTCACTGGGTTTTAAATAAAATCTAAAACATTATAGACAGTTGTAACAAGCAAGTTTGGGGCTTGCTCTTTCCTCTCAAAAGACCTCATTAAGGGTTGGGATCCATATGAGTAGCAAAAGGTGGTTTCTTATGGAAGGAGAGGCTGGGTGACCTGTGCTAATGCTCTTGCTTTTTCCCACAGGCTCCTACCCAGAGATTCTACCCAGTGAAATTCCCACAGCAACGCAGGTAGACGGGGCTGACCTGGCCTCTCCAATGTCTCCTCGAACTAGCAAAAGCCGGATGTCCATGAAGCTGCGTCGGTCCTCTGGCTCAGCCAATAAATCCTAAGGAGAAAGCAGCCGGGCAGTGATCAGCAGTGGCTGCCTTGCATGACCATGTTGTTAACCCTTTCAGGCCCTCGTGTTTGCCATAACATGCACGTTCCTTCCTGAACATTGCTTTTTAAAAACACTGGATTTAAATAATTTGTACTTTAGCATTTTTGATTTGGGTTGTTTATTCAGTTGGGTTTTTTTCCCCCCACACTCCAAGCTGCCTTGTTTTGGGTGGGGGGAATAGAGTTTTATTCCTACACCCTTTTTACCTTTCTAGATAATTATGTCTAAGTAGTTTTAATTTCATGATCAACTTTGAGCCAAAATATAATTGGATAGTCTCATTATTTTATTTATCGTACCCCATTGCAACTTTATGGGCTCAGTAAAATATAACTTTTTTTTACAAATGTAAATTTTTAAATTTAAGCATTTGTAAAGTTATAACAACAGTTGCAAATCTGTTAAAATGCACAGGATGTGTATGGATTATTTATGTTATGAAAATAAAACACTTAAAATAAATGGTATTTTAGCATCCCAAATTCTACCTGAAATAATTTTAGCATTAACTTTTTCTGCCCAAAGCAATGCCTCATTTCTTGACTGTACAGATGATGCCATGACATATCTAATAACCAGAAAAATCACTGTGCTGCACTTTGATTTATGTTTAGCTTCCAAATATTTTTCTAATGTTTTGCTTTTTAAAGGTATCACTGTTACATGCCTTTTTTTTTCTTTTTTTTTAAGATTGTGACCCATTATTATTGGCTGCTAGATCCTGGTGTATCTGTTCTTTCTTAAATACCAAAAGGGCAGACTTGAGAGGGAGAAAGAAAGAAAAGAAGGAAAATCTTTTCTGATACAAATGTGTTGCTTAAATTAAGTGTATTTAAAAAGAAAAGGGAACATGACCCAGGAGTCTAAATAAAATCTAACACTGTTAATACTGAACTTGCAGGTGCAGGTTGGTGTACATTCCACCCTCCAGACATATTTTCCTACGGTAGATAAGCTGCTCATGTTTTGCTCATATTTTGTTTTGAACGGGAATCTCCTAAGGAAATGTAGCATGACATCGGTACTAACTGCATGTGTAAATACATCATATTGGCAAACTATAAAATATAAATTATGTATCATCATTCATGTAGTATCTACAAATTTGTAATAGTGAAAATATATATATGGTATTTAATAATACAATAAAAATATTATCACTTAATGTCCATGAGTGTTTTATCTTTTATATTTGTCTTTTATGTATTTTCAGACTTATAATAATAAGCAGGGTTATATGATTAATGGAGAGATGTAAAGCATAGACCTAGGTTATCTTAATCGTGAAACATGAATTTGAATTCTCAGGATACACCCCAAATTATTTCTGAAATCTCACCACACTCATTAAAAACACATGAAATTTTACACCTTCCTAAGGGCTGGCCAGAAACTTCACTCAATGCACTTGGCTAAAGCATCAATATATCTCAGCTTCATGATTCTTTGATTTCTTAAACTTCACTTTGTTTTAGAATATATATATTCAGGAACAACACTTTTTACAGGCAGTTTCTAAAACCTGTGCACTGAAGTTTTTATTTTTAAGAAAATAAAAACTTCTGATGAAACTGTAGAAAATAAAATTCCTATGAAAGCTTATATCGAAGATAAATGGCCCTGGGAACAAGATTAAACAATATAAACAATTTCCCACAACCAAGGTAAGGAATTACAAAGAGGAAAAAAAATCAAAGTAACTACTTACACATTTCTATAGTGCTTTCATTTTTTTAATGACCAGCTAATGAATTGGTGATAAAATGGAGTGAAAACACCAATTTGAGATAATTACACAATTAACATGATTTTTTTCATCTTTGGATAACACGTCACTAGCTTTTTGTAAAAAAAAAAAAGTATTTTAAATATATTTTCTGTTGACATTTTTGGATGGCAAAGGGTCTTTAAAGCATAGTGCATTATTTTTGCCTTTTGGAGCTCAGTCTGTGCAGCCATACTTCAAAGGAAATTTTCCCATTGCATTTCCACACCATTACATTCATTTTCAAAATATAATTTCTCCTGTCTGTATTCTGACTAAATGGGTCACTAAGAGTCTAAAGTAGGATACTGGCTTTGGGGAGATAAGAAATGTGGCTTTGAAAAATAGGCTGTGTACAATGGGGTTCTTAAGACAAACACAACAAAGCACCATCTATGTACATTTATTTGGTGGTAAGCATCTTACAAATATGGGCTATATCTGTCACGCAATACTCAGCCCGTGTCCCAAACTCTGACTGTTAGGGCATGGGTACAGAATGTACACTGAATGTAGTTTACAAAAAATACTGAAATAGGTTGCTGAAAAGAAAATACTAAATATTGAATGAATTGCCATTCAGTTCCATAGTGGATTACAGGTATTAACCTCTTCCTTAAGCTGAACATAGTTTCATACATAACACATAGTATGGGATTTACAACAGAAGCATTAAACAATTTGGATGAAACCCTACTAAAACAGTCAAACTTCAGGAATTGAGTTCTATATTTCCAAAAAGCTGTTTTTGGAAAAGTAGCTTTTCCTGATTACTACACACAAAATAGCTAAAGGTGAGAATCTTTGGGGGGGGGGGAGTCCTCAACTCTTTCCTGTAAAGCAGCACCCACCACCTCCAAACACTAACTTAATGGACTTGCTGAGAAAAGGGAAGTTTTACAGGGAGATTCCCCATATCTCCCCAAAGCGCAAACCTATTAAATTTCCTGCCTATAGACACAGGTCTTAACTGCCCCCACACACACGCTCCCCACCTCCAAGTTTGGCACCAATCACATAACTTAATTCACAGAATATACAATGCAAGGTATCTGACCCCATTGAGACAGAAACTACATAGGTGCCTGCGATGGCAAGAAAAGAAAAAGCATTAATGACTACCACTTTGGGTAGCTGGAATCCTTTGTAGACATTGAGACGCACGCATTCACTGCGACTTTCCATAGGAATTACAAGTCATAGAGGATTCATTAGGGTCTGCAGAGTTTGGGGGCGGGGGATACTATTTTCTTGGGGAAAGTGAGAAGAATTTAAAGCTGATGGTCTTTGACCACGAATGTTTATACCATATACATACCTGCTCTAGAGAGGGACATTTCGCTGTCCGCTCCTCTGGCGGAACACTGACTACTGGGACTTTTAGGAGAGAAAATATAGAAGGAAATAGGGTAAATTTGCAAGTTGAAGAAAAGACCCACAAATTCCCAAGATCTGTTTCCTCCCAGGCTAACCTCGCAATCTTGCCGGTCTCTCGGCCCTCAACAGCCTGGCCGCAGTGGCATCTGCAGCAGCAGTACCTGCCGACCTTCTGAGGGGTGGCACTTATTGATGTGCCGGGTCAGCCCCGGGGAGCTAAAAAAAGTGGACGGGCAGTGCTTGCAGGAGAAAATTTGCTGAGCACTCCCGTCCGGTGCCCCGCCTGGGCTCGCCACTTCGGGGGTCGCCCCGGCTAAGGCCGGCAGGAGCAGCTCCTCGCGGACAGCATGCCACAGCCGGTGCTTGTCCCTGATATCGGCGGACGGGAAGTGCGCCCCGCACAGCGGGCAAGCGAAGGCCAGTGGGGCGCCGCGTTCCGAGCCAAAGCCCGGGATAAGCGCGCGGGCTGAGCCTGCTTCGTGAGTGCCCAAGTGCTTGCGCAGATAGGCTTGGCGACGGAACTTTTTGTGGCAATAGGGGCACACGAAAATCTCGGGTCCTCCGACACCACTGGCACTGCCCAGCCCAGGCACCCGGTGCCCCTCCGGGTAGGGGACCCGAGGCAGCGGTGCCTCGAGGTGGGACAACACCTGGAGGCCCTGGGATGGGGCTCTGTCCGGGTGCTGCTCCGCCCCGGAGCTGTCCCTGGCCTGCGGGTGCTGATCCTCAGTTCGCTCTGCCCGACTGTTCTCCTTCCCCTCCGCCAGGAAGGATGCAACAGTCCCGGAATCCAGGGAGGACGAAGAAGGCTTCCCGTCAGTTGAGGAGACTGTGGCGATGTTTGCAGCTGTGGGACGAGGCTTGTGCCAGCGGCGATGGGAGGCGAGGTTCGCCGGGCAGCTGAAGACCTTGTCGCACTCGGGGCAGCGGTACTCAACGCGTACGATGCGGGAGCAGCGATGCTGAGCCAGCGAGAAGGGGTCCGCATACTGCTCCTTGCACAGCTGGCAGATGAACTCCCCCAGGGGCGTGCGGCTGCCCCCCAGGCCCCGGGACGGGGTTCCAGGCTCCTCCTCCTTGATCTTCAGGCCCAGAACAGGGGACGTGGTCACTTCATCAGCGAAGCTCAACTTCCTCATGGCCTTTGGCTTCTTGACTCCCGCGGCCACGGGTCCAGACACGCAGCCCGGAGACGCCTTGGCGCGGCGTTCGCCGGCAGCAGACCGCTTCAGGCCTTGCAGGGTGGCCGAAAGGGGCGCGGGGTCCGAATGGAGCGCGGGCTCTGGGAACGGTGCCCGGAGCGGCAGCAGGAACTGCTCCCCCGAGGTCGGTGCGGCTGCCGGTGCCACCGAGCTGGAGAAAGCGGCCACGGCGGCGGCGCCCCCGGGGAAGGACTCAGCGGAGACCGGAGAACAGAGGCAGCGCTCCAGGAATGCCCGGCGCAGCTCCGCACCCACTGGCTTGGCCGGGCTGGGGCTGGGCCCGGGACCCTCTCTGCCATCTACCTTCCACGCTGCGCCTTCCCGCCCGTCCGCCCCCGGGCTCACCCCAGCCGCCCGACAAGGCGACCCCAACAGTTCGCGGGCCGCCTCCACCTCCTTCAGCCCCTTTCCGGGCTCCTCTGGGGTAGGGAGTGCTGCCTGCTCCGCACTGGGCTGGGGGGCACTGGAAGTCTCCTTGGGGAAGGGCGGCACCCCCTGGGGATCCGGCACGGGGAAGACCCGCTCGACTAGGCGCACTCGGTAGGAGCCGCCCGTCCGTTTAGTTCGCTTCACCAGGAAGCCTCTTGGCATGGTGGAGTCGGGAGCGCTCGGGGGTAAGGAGCAAGGGGTCGTGACGGGGGGCTGAGAGCTGGCGGGCACTGCAGCTACCCGAGCTTCGCAACCGCGGTCATGCGTCCACCCGCTTTATAGCTGAGACGCAGGCCAGGGGACCGCTGGGCGGCCTTTTGGCTGGAAGAGCCAATCAGGAGTGGGAGCGGGCGCCGGGGGCGGGGTTTTCACCTTGCTGAGCTCACGAGGGTCCACAGGGCGGACGGCGGAGCACTCCCACATCCCCCCCGGCCGCTGCCTCCGCGGCCCCAGAAGCGGGCTTAAGCGCTGCGGGCCATGCCTCCCGCTGCCGCACACCCCACGACGACGCACGAAAAGGTAAGGGCCGGAGTGTGAGGAAGCTCAGCGCTTTCCACCTCAGCAGCCTCCGGGGTCCTTCCGAGAACCAGGCTGAGAGGCTCCTTGCGGGCTGTGACCTTGCAGCCCCGTGCGGGAGAGCCTGATGGAAAAGCCCTAGCCCTGCAGGAGCAGAGCCAAGAGAACCGGGCGGTGGGCCACGGGTGCCTGGGAGGCCGCCCGGTGGGTGTCAGTCAAGGAACGGGTTAATGTCCTCTGCCCGAATTGAGATGATGAGAAGCTGTGACAGAGCAGCAGGGCGGCTAAATCCACCGCCCTGTGCCTACGCTTGAGGGTGGGAGCACGTCTGCCATCCAGTATCGATCGAGACTGTGAGCGTCTGTGATACTATGAGGATTCATCTGGGAAGAAGGGCTCTCAGTGCGGGAGATCGTGCGTGCTGGCAAGCCTGTGGAGCTCAGGACCCCAGCAGGCTTCTGGGCCCTGGTCCTCAGGGCTTAGCAAGGCCCCCGCCCGGATTCGGGAATAGGAGGGGGTGGGGGGTGGGGGGAAGTAGAATCTAATTTTCGACTGTCCTCAGATAAAGTGGTTTCTCTATTCACACCTTCCACTTGTACTACCCAGAGACATGACTTAGTGCAGAACTGCCCTGTTTAGCATGGAGTACAGTGAGAATTACTGGTAGAATCAAGATTACGTCTGCTTCCCCTTATATAAGCGATACTTTGCAAAAGGCATGCTATAAAGCAGCACTCTGTAATGTGCCCAACACTCTTTTAAGCACAAGAAGAGATTTGAAAGTTTGTAATACTAGCTGAAGTATGAAGTAGAAAATATATGACTGGAGTGTAATAAAGTGCCAAGTACAACGTGAGAATAAGAACTATGTGTTCAAGTCTCCTTCCAATACCAAATTGAAGAAACAGACTGAGCAATGTGTTTTTAAAATAGACTATGCCTAGCAGATCTGGTCATCAATAACATATTGTCTTCCTTTTACTGAATGAAGTGTTTTTACAGGAAGAGCATTCTTTTTAAGCATATTTGGAAGAAATCATGTATTTGTTAAACATTGGCAGTATTTTAGGCATTCTACTTAGTCTCTAATCTTTTCATATATGCACACACAAAACAGGAGATATTATTAATATTCCTTTTTGATGAGGGGATTGAGCCTTAGAGAAGTTAGATAACTGGCAAAAGTCACCCAGAGCCCAGATTCAAACTGAGTCCTGGTTAATTCCAAAGCTTACTCTTTCCACTACACCAGTGGCTTCAAACTTATTTTTTTTCTGATCACATCCCACAATAGGAAATATACTTTACAGTACACAAATGTAACTGAAACAAAATATTCACAAAATAATACCCTTAACTAGGTGCAATGCATTCTTGGTTTTCTATTCAATTCTATTATATTTTCTTTTTTAAATGTTGATCATAGCAAACAAATTGATTTTGTAACTTATTAATAGATTAGGACCCACAGTTTGAAAAACACCATCATTATGGTGTTTTCCATTAAACAGCATGAAATCATACAGAATTAAGTAAATAAACCTGACACTGTATAATCAAAATTAATATTCTTAGTAACTACCTAAACCAGCACTTGCACTTCTTCTAGGTATATGCACAAAAGACTTAAAAACAGGGACTGAAACACATACACCAATGTCCATTGTAGCATTATTCACAATAGCCCAAAGATGGAAACAACCCATTATTTTCCTTCAATAGATAAATGTGTAAACAAAATGTGGTATATACAAATGACAGAGTATTATTCAGCCATAAAAATAAGAATGAAATGCTGACACATACAACATGGATGAATCTTGAAAACATTGTGCTAAGTGAAAGGAGCCAGACACAAAAGGACAAATATTATAAGATTTCAATTATATACGAACTATCTAGAATATGGAAATTCATAGAGCTAGAAAGTAGATTATTGGATATCAGGGACGTGGGGGAATGGAATCTTATGGTTACAGAATTTCTTTTTGGAGTGATGAAAAAATTTTGTTAATTGATAGTGGTGATGGATGGACAACATTGTGAATGCAATTGATGCCACTGAATTGCACACTTAAATCGTAAAAACAGATTCTAAGAAAATAATTTTTACTACAGTAAAAATATTACACACATAAAAGAGTGGAAGGCAAAAGCATCGCATGTCAGAACGTGAAAAGGATATAAAGTACCAGGTCATGTAATTTGGATGTTATTACATAGGACAGACACAGAGAGCCATTTAAAGTTTTAAAGTGAGGGAGTAACATTTGGTTTTGAAATTGCATGAGGGAAAATATCTTTAGCTAAACTTTCTGCCAGAGATAGAAAGGAAATACAGAGATATGTGAACCTCCTCCTCTCAGTCATTCCCCCTTTTAACCAACTGAGAATGTGGGTTAGAAAAAAAAAAGGAAACTTAAAAAAGTCAAAACAGCAGTTATAATATGGGAATACTTAATGAAGTGATTGGCATAAAATTGATATGCAATAAATATTTTTGAATGAATGGTGCTAGTTATTAGATGGATAGCAAATGTGTCCGGCCCTCTATCCAGCCATCCTGTCTTCCATCTATACATCTATTCAGTCACTCATCAAATGACTGCTGCATATTCTTTCTGTGATAGTTCAGAACACAGTGTTCAAGGAGTAACTACCCTCTGTTATTTTTCAGGAAAATGAATTTGTGTGGGAGAGGGCCTGGCCCACCTGAAGCTGTTTTTATTCCTGACCACCATCTTATAGAAATTTACCCTGAAATCTCTGATTGACCCAAAGGATACTGACATCACCCCTGCTGTCAAAAGGTTTGCTTCTGTGCTGCTGTTCTACCAGATCTGCATCATTTCTGTGTGAGGAAGGGCAGATCATCTGGGAGCTGCTGCACTGTCATCTACAACTGCCTCTCCTCTGGGGGCATCGCTCACCTGGGTCCCACTCCATCCCCTTCCCAGGAATGCCTTCTCTGACCTCTCCTCTCCTCCTCACCCCATTCCTTCAATATCCAGTGAGCATCCAACCTCCATTAAAAGTTTCCTGAATCTCACTGCACAAGTGCATCTGCTATTCTCCATACCCTGTAACACTTGTATTGGCTGCCATAGGCTAATACTTATTAACTATTGAGTGAGCACTATGTTACCACTATGAAACAGCAAATAATGATTAGCATATAACAATACAGAGCCGGTTCTCTTCTGCATGTTCAAAAAAAAAACACAAAACATTACTATTAACAGAAAAAAAAAAGAATTGCTGTCAAATATTTTTCTAACAGATTTAGTAGTTCCAATAGGTCTTTCTCTCCCTTTTCCCCAAATGTAATTTGACAACAACCTTTCTGGAAATGAGTGTAGCAATGTATATCAGGAGCTTTTAAAAACTTGCCTACCCTTTAATTCACTGATTTCTCTTAAAGTAAATTACCTAAAAGAAGGGCAAAGATTTATGCACAAGGCTGTTTGCCACAGTGTTATTTGTAATCGTAAAAAATCAGAAACGACCTTGAGTGAATCATGGTACGGCTACACTATAGATGATTACATAGCCATAAAAATGCAATGATATGGGCAAATACATATGCCATAAAGTTAGGCGAAAACATCAGAATGCGAAGTTGCATGTACATTACAGAGTTCGATTATGAAAGAACAAAATGAATAAAACACTGGAAGGCAATATGCCAAAATGCTGTTGGAGTTGCTCTAGTTAGTAGGAATTTTAGTCTTTTGTTATTTTTTTTAACTTTTTTGTTAAATTTTTTTGCAATAAACATATATTACTCTGATAATCAGAAAAAACATATAATGTAAATGCTGCCTTCAAGCCTTTCTTGTGTTAGATATGGTACCCCTCTCCTAGGACACTGTTGGAGAAATGGTGGTGCAACATCCAAAGGCAATTGCACAGGGAAGTAGCAGTCTCCAAGGTCACCTGTTTGAACTCACACTAGAAAAGAGGCGACAAGCTTCTGTCATGCCACACACCTTCCAGGTGAAGAACACTTTTGGGAAGACACTAAGGGTTAAACAGTAGAAAGAAAACTAAAAGATAGGGGAGAGAAGGAATTTAGACAGATACTCTCCACTTAGGTATAAACCAAGATAATCCTTAAGATATGAACCCATCTTTTTCCATTTTCCCACTTAGAAATAATGATAAACAGGACAGCCACTGACAAAACTGTGAAATCTTCGCTTTCTTTATCTACATCCTTTCTCTTGCCAGTGACATCCTTTGCCCCCTTTCAAACACTCAGGACCTTCATCTGCTTTGTTATATTTTGATAAAAATTCATAAACAGTGAATCATCTCCCAAGTTATTTGCATTTTAAGCTTCCCATGTCTAATTGTGAAATAAATTACTTTGATTGAAATTCAGAAATTTGGAGACAATAGCAATCAGGGAATGTTTTGAAAAGAGACTTCTTGCCCTGAGTGTAAGACAAGCTCAGATTACTGGCCTACTTTTTTTTTAAATTTTATTGTTAGTTTCAGGTGTGCAGAACAATGCAATAGTTATCCTTTTCACCCCTCACAAAGTAACAACCCCCCTCCCCCATCTACTGCCCTCCCACCCCCGATATCATGCTTATCTATTACCATTCCATTGACTCCATTCCCACTCTCTACTCCACGTCCCGTGACTATATGTATATATAATTATAGTTGACATACAGTATTATTCAACATCAGCTTCAGAAATACAGTGCGGTGGTCAGGCCTCTACACCGACTATGAAGTGGTCTCCCTAACAAGACATGAGTCCATCTGGAACTGTCCTACTTTTTATCACT